TTTTTTTTTTTGTCTTCTTAGTCTATCAGTTATGGAGACAAGTGTGTTTAATTGTCTGATGGCAATGGCAGGCCAGTTTACTTGGGACAAATCCTTCCAGTAAGGCTAAAATGAGACCCCCTGAGGGACGCCCAGCCCACACCTTTGCGTGCCAACCACCTCCCACTTCTGCAGCTTCCAGAGGGGTTAACTCCGGGCTTTGAAGCAACACAGCCAAGTGCAAAGACTCTCGGTGTTCTTTAGTGCACCTGGGGCGAATGAGAGTGTCCTATCTACCAGGTGGCCCCAGAGTTTTTTCTCATGGCTTCTTTTTACTAACTGCTCAAAAGGAAACAATTCATTAATTTTGCCCTAAGGCAGCCGCCCCCTGCTTGTCCAGAACACTAAGGACCTGCCTTCTTCCGCCCATCTCCATATGCGCTCTTTCTGCCAGTGCCCCTCCCCAACCCTATTCCCCTCTACACCCCCAATTTTAAGCACGCCTCTGGCTGCTGGCATAGGTGTGTTTCAGGCAACTCAAGCACAGAGGCATCTGAGGATGCCATCAACTCACTGAGCGAACTTGGGTAGGTCTGTGCCTGTTTGTTCTCCTTTGCTGAATTTATCAAACAATACCTGTGCTCTGCGGCTTCTGTGGACATAACAACAGAGGCCAACAAGTAAAACTTGACAGATTAGGACATGCTGTGGTCATAGAGCTTAATACCAAATTCATGATCCGAACTTGTCTGCAACTACTACATTTGATCTTGTCAAGGAGAAGAAATAACTTTCACTCTTAGGTATCTCAGTTTCTCCTCACTCCTCAAGGTAGGACCAAGCATGACCCATAGCGACCCCTCTGTCTTCTACATCTTAAGGTACTGAATGTATGTCCCGTTGGTCCCTTCTTGTCAAGCCCCATCCGGGTTTCTACTTGTTTGGATCATAAGACTTTACCCTTCCTTGGGCTATATGCCAACAGATAGACATAGTGACACCTCTACTTACATGGAGTGGCCCTTGCCACAAGCCTGGGCACACGGCTTTCTATAACCCTCTGAAGGTTGCCTATTCTTTCTAGGAGCATGTACACTTGAAAATATCCCTGTAGATCCCAAATAATTGAATAAATATTGGTAACAATTTAGGGATTGTGTGGGAAAAGAATTGGGGGGGCCAATGGCATTTTGCTTCGATTCTATTCCATTGGTGCTGTCACCTTTAAGGAAGGTTGTACCTCCAAGGATTAGTTAAAAGAAGCTACTAGAATCACAAGCCTGAGATAACAGGAGAAAGGGTGTACCAAGGAACCTCTAGGGCCGATGTTTTCTATAGCCATAAGAACATCCACACATAAGCAGTTTCCCTTAGGGATGTTAGTCAATAAGCAAAGAGTAGAGTCCAGGAGTCCTGGCTAAGAAGATCAGGCCTGTAAAGGGCAAGAAGGCAGGAAGATCCTTGCTGAGAGGCAGGGGTTAGAGTCTCAGGTAAAAGGGGAGAGGGGGCAGCAGACGGTTCCAGGGTTACAAGAAGAAACAGAAGTTCTGGGTTACTATTGCAGCTTATTTGTCGAGGAATTAAACCTGGGAGTATAATCACTCAGGGAAGAGGGTTGGCAGGTAGAAGAAACATTGGCTGGGCCCGCTCGCTCACCCACAGCTGGGGCAGGGAGATGATGCTACTGGAGGTCATGCAGCCGTCTCCCAAGGCCTCCCAGGAATTCTCCAACTCTCACTGGAGGCTTAAGGGCTTAGCAGTGGACACTATTTTGCTGATTTTATTATCCAGACTGCTGTTCTCTGGAAGAGAGTAGGGGTAGGTATTTGGTTGCCCAAGTCTGGAGAAACACATTTCTTTAATTATAACAGATTCTCCCAATCCTGGGGGTAGGGATGTTTTCTGTGGTTTAGGAGATGCCCACACAAGCCTTCTCTCAGGGTATTTTAAATCCAATAAGCAAAGAGACATAAATGTCAGACCTCCTGGGGTTTGGATAAATTAGGTAAGCCTGCAAGTGGAGAGTGGGGACCCTGGGGCTGGGATGAAGAAGCAGGGGTCATCAGGTTGGACTGGATACAGAGACTGGGGAGGCATAGTCTCCTGCTCTCTGTGTCCCCAAAGTTTGGCAGTCCACAGTCTTTGAGAGGCTAGTGACAAGGGAAAGAGGCTTCCTAGAGCTTACCAACTTCTTGAAGAAGCATGCAGACATTTCCACAGACGTTACCCTTTTGTTAGAAACATTTACATTTATGTATAAGGGAGAATCTCCATTTGTAAAGACATCCTACTCTCTGTACCAGGAAGAGAAGCACTTTAAATCTCTAGAAACTTTTTATCAGTGGAGAAGGCAGCAACTTAAAGCTGCGTTAACAGCCATATCCTTGCTTACTGAGCCTTTCCTGGTAACCTCCTGTAAGGCCTTTAGCTTCCCCCCAGTATCTTTTGTCTTTAGATGAAGATGGTATTTAAGGTGTGATGGCTTGTGAGATTTCAGGGAGTTACTCAGTTTTCCTGGGTCTCTCCCATGTATACAGAGAGTATACATGTTACTAAACTTCTGTTTGTTTTCTCCTGCTAGTCTGTCTTTTAACGTGGGGGGAGTGTGTGTCTCAGCCAAGAAACTAGTGAGGGAGAGAAAAAAATGATTTTTCTTCTCCCGCAATATCAAGGATACCCAAGAAGATGACCCTTTCCTTCCCTGGTCCTTCCTTTGGGGGTCCTTAACCTTTTGTTCTCTACTTTTTTTTCGGTCAAGAAGGAACAACCACTCCCACTCTAAGGAAATCCAAGTTCTCTCTATCCCTGAAGGCCAAGGCAAAGCCCCACTCCTGCAGGCTGTTTACCTGGGCCCCTGAACCATTGCTCTATTAGACCTTAATCCCTTGCCTGGCCTAGGTCTTTGCTGCATCACAGTCAGAAGCCTTCCCTTGGCTATGCGGTTGGTAAGTGTGATGATGTGCTGATCCATCCATCTAAATGAGAATATCTAGTCCTCTGGGCCAGAAAGAGGCACAAACTTGGATACATTGTAAGTACTCTATAATCTCTTCAAGAGGAAGTTATATTTTAAAAATAATGGTCAAGATATGTATGACAAATGGTAGAAATTCAGATACAATCTAGGGAAACAGTGTGGGCAGGAAGGCCTCCCTTGCATTACCTAAAAATCTCAAGATACAAGTATATTACCCAGGTAAAACTGCCAGGAAGACAGAACTGACCTAGCAGGAATAGCAGGATACTGGGGATGGCAGAAGGAAGAATCCTTCTGGAAGCTCAGAGTAACCACCCTGAGCGCAGAAACACTTTCTCTAATGATGAGAGATGCTAGTTTCTCACCAGGGGTGTGCTCGTTCAATTGGACAAGGTGATGTGGAAGCCAGCGTCTTAGATCTTGGTTAACGAGTCTGGTTTTACATAAGTAGACAGCTCAGAGACTGCCCTGTGTTCACCAAATTCCTCTTTCTGTTGCTCTTGGGCACATAGATAAAATATGTTTCTCAGTCTCCTTTGCAAAGAGCTCCACTTGTAGGCCTGGCTCTTTAAAACCTTCTGTTTGAATTAAAAAAAAAAAAAAATGACAGGATCCAGGAGATCGCAGCTCGATTCCCGGTCAGGGCACATGCCTGGGTTGCGGGCTCCATCCCCAGTCTCGGGCCTGCAGGAGGCAGCTGATCAATGACTCTCTCATCATTGATGTTTCTATCTCTCTCCCTCTCCCTTCCTCTCTTTGAAATCAATAAATATATTTAAAAACACAAAACAAAACAAAACAAAAAAAACAAAAGCCACTTCTGTTTGAGCCTCTGTGCTACCTTTCTTCTCCCATCTGCTGGCTGGATGCAAAGGAGGGCCTGGGGGATGGTGCAGCTATGGATGGATGGAGCCAGTATCCTTGAATCATGGTAAATGTGTCTGTTTACTGACCATCCTCAGTAAAATGGATTGTGAATGAGATAAACTTTTACTGTGTTAATCCCATGAGATTTTTCTAAATCTCTGCATTTTTGCTGCAGCCATGAGCTTACTTGCCCACTACCTAGGTCTAGCTGGGAAGGCAGAGTTGGTTGCCTGCGCCCATAAGAGGATGGGAACAACTGTTGGGACCACTGGGCGTTGTAATAAAAGAAATAGAGTCACAGGGATGGAGTCAAAAGAGAAAGCGGAGCCCTCGGGTTGGTATAACAGTTTACTTGGCAAACCCTTGAGCCTTCTCAGGGTAGAGATGGAGGGGAGACCGGAGAGGCCCTCAGCTGGAGCAGGGGGCCGGGCGCTCTCAGACCCCCGAGCCAGCCTCCTGCCCGCACTACTGGCTCGAATCTGCCACCAGGAGAGATTTATAGGGTTCTCTGGAAGACAAAAGTCTAGTGGTGAAAAGTCAGGGGACCCTGGAGGACATCCATTCCCAAACTTAATAATACCCTTGGTCCCAGTTAATGGGAACAGACACTGTTTCTGGACCATCAGGAGTTACCCGCTTTTAAGCAAATTCACCCACGAGGTTTGTGAGTTGGGACCATAAGCGGAGACTGGGTCTCCTTGGGCCTGGCTGAGACAAGGGGCACTAAGAGGCCAGACCAAGGAGGCAGTAACTGGGGCCTTGGCCAAAGGAAGAATAAACAGGCTGAAGGATGATGTTTCGGGGGAGCCGAATGAGAGTGAAAGAAGAGTGGAGGCCCACCCATGCTGGTGTTTTGCTTTATTTTGCAGTGAGTGGCAGCCAAGGTGTGGAGATTGGAGCACATTGCCCTGTGCTTCCCGTCTCTTTGGCCAGGATTTGGGTGACTGCGGACTTCTGTTTCAGGTCACATCTGAGTGAGGGATCATACCCAGGCCCAGCATTCCTTCCCAACCAACTTACCCATTGTCCAAGCAGATGTTTCCACAGTAGGTCCAGCAGCATGTATAATTTTCTAACACACATCCTCCAAACTTAGTGCACCTTTTCATACAAAACAGTAACGGAGGCTGTACCCAGCACTGCTCAATTTCTTTTGCTCTAGATGCAACTGAGATGGTAGGAGTTGGTAGGGTCTATCCATTTACAATTTGGAGAAGAAACCCTCCTTAAGCTTAATCCCTAGGTTCTGGGACCTGAGCTCAAAGCCATAAAGTATTTCTCTGCCTTTCAAGAAAATCCCTTCCTTGAATTCTAGCCAGTGTCTTTTTAGAAGAGACCACCCTTGCATGACATAACTCCCCGCTTTCCACGCGTCCCCATAGTATTGCAGGCCTTCGAGTCCTCTCCAAGCTCCCCAACAACAGGCCCTAGGACACCCTCACCACGTCTGACATTACCGCATCAAGTCTATTCTCATATAACCTTAGATTTTAGGACCTGCACTCTCCTCTGGCTCCAGTTTCCACACCCAATTTGCAGAATGGAAAACGGAGTTGGGGGAGACTAGGAACCTACTTTCCCCTTTTCGATTCTCTCTTTATTTAACTTTTATATTTTTATTTTTTAATAATTTTTCTTTTTCAATTACAGTTGATGTACAATATTATATTAGTTTCAAGTGTACAACCCAAATGATTAGGCATTTATGTAACTTATGAAGTGATCACTCCAATAAATCTAGTACCCACCTGATACCATAAATACTTATTACAGCCATGGCCAGTTTGGTTCACTGGTTAGAGTGTTGGCCCACAGACTGAAGGGTCATGGGTTCCATTCCTTGTCAAGGGCACGTACCTTAGTTGGAGACTCGCCCCCCGGCCCCTGTTGGGGCATGTGCAGGAGGCAGCCAATTGATGTGTCTCTCTCACATCAATATTTCCCTCTCTCTGTCTCCCCCTCCCTTCCACTCTCTCTAAAAAATCAATGGAAAGAATATCCTCCAGTGAGTATTAACAAAAAAATAGTTATTACAATATTATTGACTATATTCCCTATGCTGTACTTTACATCACCATGATTATTCTGTAACTACCAATTTTTGCTTCTTAACCCCTTCACCTTTTTCACCCCACCCCCAAACCCCCCTCCCATCTGGCAACCATCAAAATGTTCTCTGCACCTATGAGTCTGTTTCCAGTCTGCTTGTTTATTTTGTTTTTTAGATTCCACATATAAGTGAAATCATGTTGTATTTGTCTTTCTCTGACTGACTTATTTCACTGAATAAATATGCTCTAGGTCCATCCTGCTGACACCACCTAAGCATTCAGCCTCTCCCCAAATTCCGTGTCTTTTACTGGCCCACAACCTTTCCTCTCAGTCCCTTCATTATCTCCATTTTGTTACCAATGACCCCAAACTTTGACTCGCTAAGGAACTCCTATTTGTCTTGTCTGTTTTCTCCTGGTTTAAGAGGTCTTTCCCCCTGAAACTAAAGGAATGTGTTAAAATGTTACCCTTTCGGTAGTGACCAAGGCTCACTCAGATCAGGCTCAGAGACTCTGAAAATGTGAGTTCAGAGGGAAGCGCTGTGCGGGTGTCGCCACTACCCAAGGCGGTCTGACATAGGAAAATATCATCTCCTCTGAGCTTATGAAACGTAGGCAGAAGTTACATCACCTTTACACATATACAATATTGCTTTCATATCTGGGAGAGGGAGCTTGGAGGGACGCCAGATTGGGATCTTTCCTAATCTTTCTTGGATATTTCTACTTTAAAGAGAGTTCTGATGCCTTGAAGGGCGATTCTGGAAACTGGGCCCTGAATCAGTTATGCCAGACATCCCAGGCCTGGGCAGCCCCCCTCCCTCACCACACACCTACAGGCGGGCACTCTCCTGACGCCTCCCAGCGCAGGCAGAAGCAGCACAGCGCCACCCGCCGACGTGATGAGCAGGAGAGCCCAGGGCCTCATGGCGGCTCTGCGTGTGTTTGGGTTAAGCTCTGGCAAAAGACAGGCCTTCTTCAAATGCTGCTAGAGTAGAAAAGATGCCAAGGAGCATAGGGTAGGAAAGAGAGAGAGAGTACTTGTGAATATTGTGATATTCTTTCTCCTACTTTTGCTTTTCACCCTCAGGCACCTAACAACATGTCAAGCTGGCCACTGGCTTCCCTGGCTTCTTCCCCATCTTACACTGCGTACAGCTCCCTTCGCAAAGTTATTTCTCCGAAAAAAGACATTGCTCTTTTTCCAGTTAAAAAGCAGTAAATCTTCAGATTGTATAATTTCTAAGACAAAAAAATACAAAGGGGAAACAGATAAACATTAGGAATTCTACTGCCCCAGAGATAACCAGTATATGTGTATCCTTTAATGTTGTAGTCATTATTTTTATGAAATTGGAATAACAGAACACATTGAGGGTCCTGATTTTTTATTTAAGAACATATGCAACCGGATGATATTATTTAGTCAAGACCCTAAAACAAAGTACCAGAGGGATTCCAGAGCGAGTGCTGAGACAGATTACTCAGCAGGACTCAAGAAAAGATGGTGGCTGAAAACTGGTTAAGGAACTCTTAAATCTTTCATCTACATAGATGATGTAAATGCCAGATTTAAATAAGTGAATCATTGACTCATTGACTTTGATGCAAATTGGATTTAGATGACTTGAGGTGAGACAAGAGCAAGAGAAGGAGATTATGGAGAGATAGAAAAAAAAGAGAGACACCCTTAAAATGTAAAAGATCAGCTGTTTGGGGGCTTTCACTCTTAGAGATTTATCTGCTCTGCAACCTACTCCATTCAGAACCCACATCCTTGCCAGTTTGCCTTGGCATGGCTTAATGAAGGAAAATTGCCAAGTTAAGCTGCTGAGGTTTCATTTACCATTGGGCAATATTTACATCAAAGGATGCAACTTAATTGGTGAAGCTCCAGGCCAAAGGAGAACTATCTTTGAGCACATTAACCTTCCAAAAATCCTATAAACCACTTGTATTTTTTGCATAGAAGCCAGTGTGCATTGACAGGATGCCCAGTCCTTGAGCATCAGAATGTTCTTCTGGTCCTCTGAAGGCACCGGCACAGATCAAGACATGTGCAAAGCAGATGGTCTGTTAACCACTTGCAGGTGAGGATATGAGAGCTGAGGGTATGGGATGAAGGTGGTCATGGATTGGGATGGCCTCTGGATTTTTGGCACCTGTCTTTTGCACAAAAAAGGAAGAAGTCTGGCACATGGTGACAGAAACGCAATAATTCCAAAGTAATGGGTTCTGTAAAGCTGGTTTTTGGTATTTAAAAATATCATTCTAGACCCAACTTGTCCAGAGCTTTGAGATCTGTTCATTTAAAAGGCCTCATGCTTAGTTCAGTTTTCTGAGTTCACTACTTGCCCTTGAAGATTGTTTAGGATCTGGGGATGCCAAATCCCCTTCTTTGTACAACTCAGTTGTACTAAGTGATCCCAGAGAAGAGAAATATATCATCACACCCAGGCTGGGTACTAGTCATATACAGAGTTCTGGGTGAATTCTATGGCCATCCTGAAATGGAGTGTAGAACAATGAAAAGGTCCCTAGGTATCACAAAGACACAGAACTACTGCTCCCCACAAAATTCAGGATCGCTGGGCTTTCCAGATAGTGTTAAAGGAGAGAAAGTATTGAATTTTGAGTCAGGAATGCTAGTATCTTGTTTCATCTCTGCCCCTTTTACCTATGGGACCTCAGACAGGTCACATCACCTCTATCTCTGTATCTTATTTGAACAACAGAGACAATGATCCCCACCTCACAGGAATAATGTTGACATCACCTGAGCATGGAACTCATCCAAACAAGCCACAAATAAAAGCTTATGCCTCAAGGCCCTTACCCCACTTACCTCTAAAGGTGACTGAGTTGAGTGTCTGCAGTAACTGGCTGACAGCTGTTTCATCTGGATTCTTATTACTTGGAGAGAGGAAGGGAGGTTGTGTCCTGGAACAAGGAGCAGAAGAGCAAAAAAACAAAGATCAAAGGCCTAGAACTTAATGATGATTTTGGTAGTGGCAGAGCTTTACGTTCTGCCCGGGAACTACATGTTGGCCATGTCATTGAGTGTTTCCTTCAATACTCACCCATCCAGAAGTACTGGATTTTCTTTGATGTGAGCAGTATCTCCTACTAACCTAGGAGGAACATTGTGTACTTGGGTTGCAGCCACCCAGGCTAGAGTCTTTATCTAATGCATTTTGAGTCTATCCATAAGTTGGGAGTGGAAGATGGTCTATGTATCTATTTTCCTTTGAATTGTGTGGTTTATTGAAGGTCTCACCCTCTTCTGTACTGATTCTCCTTTGCTAATTAAAACATAACATCATCTGCCACCAAATGCTGTGTGGCTTTTAGTAGATAAAAAAAGATCAAATACGAAGGACTTTAGAAAAAATAGATTTGGCTCACCAGGGGCCATTATATTGGGATACGAGCACATGACTTGAAGCTCACTAGAAAAAAGAGTCAATGGTCAAGGGCCAGGGAGTCCCAAAGAGCAGACTTCCTTCTCTCAAACCTTGTCCACAGGTATGCTTTATACAGTGACAAGGGATATCTATATGTGAGTGATTTCCCCTGGGCTTTGTTGGGTGTCTTGAGCAGTAAGAAATATATGCCAGGATTCTGGAGACTTGGCTGAGGAGGGTGGACCAGTACAGAGACAAAAGGCAGAATTTGGGGACGTAGGGACAGATTTGGGGACCTAGGGACTGCAAATAGTGCCAAACCTAAAATGACTGAATTATAGATTCCCAAGACATTGGTTTATATTGCAGAAAAATAATGTTTCTTGCAAGACAATCACAGCCTTGTGCATGCTCTGTGTTGGGCCCAGAAGCTGGGGGTTCTTGATGGTTTGTTTGAGGTACACAGACACTGACAATTACCAAAGAGGGTTCTCCCAGTATTCCTGCTACTCCTGGCTCTGGATCATACAGATGGGCCTGCAGAAAGCTATGCAGAATTTAGAACACTATCTCCTCATTTAAAATGAGGTAAGGGATCCTTCCTTTTTAAAGCTGCATAGTATTCCACGGTCCGAGAAGATGCTTGATGTGATTTCAGTCTTCTTGAACTCGTGGAGACTTGTTTTGTGTCCTAACATGGTCTATCTTTGAGAATGCATATTCTGCAGCTTTGGGGTGAAATGTTCTGTAAATGTCAGTTAAATCCAATCTGATCCAGTGTGTCATTTAGAATCACTATTTCCTTGCTGATTTTTTTTGTCTAGAAAAGCTATCCAGTAAAGTCAGTGGGATGTTAAAGTCCCCTACTGTGACTGAATTGCTGGCAATCTCTCCTTTAAAGTCCTCCAGAAGTTTTTTGGCTTTTTTTCAGCCTGTGTGATTCTTTTGTTCTGAGGTGGGTCTCTTGTAGAAAGCATATATTTGTCCACTCCTTTTACATTGGTTTAAAATCAAGGCAACCAACCGAATGGGAGAAGATAGTTGCGAACAATACCTCCAACAAGGGGCTAATATCCAAAATATACAAAGAAATCACACAACTCAAAAACAACAAAAAGCAATTAGAAAATGGGCAGAAGACCTGAACAGACACTTTTCCCAGGAAGACATACAAATGGCCAATAGACAGATGAAAAGATGCTCAACTTCACTAGCTGGAAGGCAAATACAAATCAAAACCACAATGAGACAAGAAATAACAAGTGCTGAGGAGGGTGTGGGGGAAAAGGAATCCCCGCACACTGCCGCTGAGACTGTGAACTGGGACAGGCGCTGTGGCAAACAGGATGGAGAGTCCTCAGAAAATGTAAGAATAGAGCTGCCGTATGACCCAGCAACTCCTCCTCTGGGTATCTACGCTAAAATTTTCAAAACACTTATTTATAAATATATATGTATCCCTATGTTCATCGCAGCATCATTTACTATGGCCAAGACATGGACACAACCTAAGTGGACAACTGGATAAAGAAGATGTGGTGCATACATACAACGGGATACTCCTCAGCCGCGAAAAAAGAATGACATTTGCAAACACATGGCAGATCTTGAGAGTATCATGCTAAGCAAAATAAGTCAGATGGGAAATCACTCTTGTGCAAGATATAAAACAGAAAACAACAAACAAAACCAACAAACAAACTCAGACAAAGACAACAATACAATGGGTG